GGTAGGCGGTAGCTGCATCGGTTACGCTGTGGGCTCGTTGCCGCAACGCGTCGCTTAAGCCCCCAACCCACCCCCACCCCCGACCCTCCCCAATCGACGGTCTCCCTGTGTGTGTGTGTGTGTATGTGTATATATATATGTGTGTGTGTGTTTCATTTCATCCGATGAGGTCTCTTAACGCAACGGCAATGTTGGAAGAGGAGGACAAGCGTAGAGGACTGGTGATTAGTTGTTATTAAAGAGCAAGTTTTCAGCTCTTTTTCACTCATCCACTTCCATTACATCGATTCATCCTTTTTTGCTCCATTTTATCATTCTTCAATTTCTTCAACCCTTTCATTTAAGCTCATCCACCGGTTTACGCATTTTTTCTCTAATAGGTGACTTCCCGTCTGCCATGCGTCCGTCTTTGATTTCTTTACCCATACTGCAAATTCATCCCCTGTGGATTTGTTTGCTATTCAAACACCCAATCATCGTCTATGCCCAACCCTTTCATTCATCTACTTGGCCCGTCTACCTTTGACCAACTTAATCGCCCCCAAATTACTTTATATTTGGTTTATTTTTTTGCTCAATTATTCACCCTTGCCTTTACCCTTATTTCAGAGCTTGGCAAGAGGGACATTCCCACAACCTCTCGCCACTTCAACGCAAATGGCTTCCTACGCTCTCTCATTGTCTTATGTGCGCACAATCGGTTGAAGAGACCCTTGGCCCTCTCCACCTTCCGCAGTGTCTTTGCCTGCTCTCTGGAAGGTCAGCACTTTGAGCCCTGCTGGGTTCGTTAAATTGTCGACTGACCTGTCAATTAACTACTCCATTACGTGCTTTTCCCACCTGTTTATCACTCCCTGTATCATTCATTTTTTTTTGTTTCTTAAACACCTAGCTACCTACGCCTGAAAATTAGTTTTTTTTTTGCAAGCATTTTTTATGGCGTCTTAGTTTACAATGCAGATGCGAGTGAAATTACTTTTGCATCATAACTTGCCTATTCCTTAATTGCTCATCTTTTAAAAACAACAATGGTGAGCCTATGCGGTTTGCACCGTGTCTATGACGCAGAACTTAAAAGAATGTCAGTTACATGGTGAAAAGTCAAAGGTTTGTAGGAAGGTGGGTGACCTTGAAGCTAGTTGCCCGAATTGGCTCACCATTAAAGTGGTTAGTGTTTTTATTCTTTTGGGGTGGGGGAGAGGGGAAATGAAATAAATGGAGGCTAGATTGAATTATAATGTGCCTGTCATCTCGGTCCTTCCCTTAAAATGCCATGGAGGACGAGGAGGATGAGCAGCAAAAGGGCCTACTACTAGATAGATGAAGGCAGAATTTGGAGTTGGTGCTTCTGTCATACATACTTATGCGCTAGTCTGCCTGTCACATAGCCACTTTTATTTTTTTTCTTAAAGCTACCGAGTTAGTAAAATGCGTCATTGCTTCTAATTAAACCGAAAAATTTACAAGAAATTTGGCTTCTTTTAACACGTGGTGTTTCTTCATCCGAAATCCGGCGTCATTAAAAACAGCAACAGACGCAACACAACGAAGATTTGCAGTGACCACTTGCAGAATTATTCATCATAACAAATAAAGGTGATTCACTTTTGGTCCTGTAACCACAACAGTAGGACAATTTATTTCCTGCAACCTTTTCTACCTTCCGTCAAGCAAAAATGATGTCAAAACGTTCCAATACATGCACATTTACAGCCACTTACTCGAACCTATTTAAATATGCATGTAAGCATACTTATTTGACTGTTTTATACGTATACCCATATGATTTATTTTGAAAACACTTGTATTATAAATCTGGTCGACTTGTGCAATGACTAAAATTAGGAAGTGTTTACAGTGCCAATATCACGTTGACTACATTCCTTCAATTGTTGTTGCTGTTGGGACTCTTTGCTACTGCTGTTGATCAACTCTCCTCGCAATGATTTCTCTGCATAACCTTCCACCTTCATGAAGTTGACCACTATTGATTACAAGGTCATTGCGCGTCTGTGTGATAACTTCGTACAAATGCCTTTGTGCATTCTGTAGGAAAAGAAGTCTCCCACGAGATGAATTGAATGCAAGCTCTAGCTGATTTCGAGGTTTTCATAATTTGGTGAACAAATTGAGTGAAATGAATGAATGAATGAATGAATGATGAACACAACAAACGCACGTTCTTATACACGCGCTGCTACACCTCTATCCCTGTTGATTATTCTTCTTCAATATATCAATGTGGATATCATTGGATAGCATTCGTGTGTGCTCAAATGGCACAAAATACAAGAAGTTACCGTATGACGATTTAGCCTTATTCTTAGTGTTTCATTAGATATGACCACGCTAGAACAACAGCAAAAATGCAATTTCAGGTTCAACATTGCAGACCATGTAAAGTGGGTGATATTACAAAAATATGCTGTATCAGCTGCCAAGTAGCATGAACCAAATGCCTTTCCACGTGGCTGTTGTGAGAGAATGGGAATTAGCACGTCAGTGCAGTGATGGAGAGAAGCAGAAGTAACTTTCGATCCCTAAGGTGCCGCATCTACTGACTACTTATAAGTAAAAGGTGGATAATTTCGGCGATGTGCTCAACCGAAAATCCATCTCGATTGAGTGGTCATGAGACACGAATCTGTCATGATTTCAGGTCTGGACGCTAGAAAAGTGGGACAAGAGTGGTCTTATAGCACATACGACGATACATATTCAAGCACAGCCTTGTAGCAGAATTGCTGACTACGGTGTCCCAAAATCCATCAATAGAACCTTAACAACTGTTCAGGCTCTAAAAATGGGTCCGTAATGACGTGAATTGGCTCTGGCAGCGATAAGTTCTGAAATTGAAAAGCAAATATGTTGGCAGAGTAGGAAAATGGAGCAGATGGTGCGCCTCCTTAGCTTCTATTCCCCGACCCAATAATGTGAGTTTATCTTACCCCATTGAAATCTCATTTAAGGTTTGTGATACTGTGCAATGCAAAGCATCCCAGAGGTGGCGTGTCGAAGGTTGCGGAGTGCACTATTTATGGCATTCCCTTGCCACATTAATTCCGCATCCTGCCTACGGCACATCACTCCATCCACCCACCACATCGTAATTCGTAATAGCTGCTTTTACATGCTTTTAGCGCACACCTACTATTGTTAAGCCTTGCGACACTAGTTTCATTAAATTACTTGAGCCGCATGGTTTGGCAGTGGTGAAACACTGACAAATGAGTGTGTGAAATGAAAAGCCAGACTTTTGCGCACGTGTCATGGTGCTGGCATCTGTGAGAAGTGTGGTGGGTGAAGACACCCTCTCTTGATCGCCTGTAGCAGAGGTGACCACGTCGATGCATAAAAGCCACATTCTAAAGCAAAGTAATCAAAGCCAGTTTCTTTTTCGTCAGGCCTTGAGTGCTGGGATTTGGAATGATTAAAACTTGCAAGATCCCTCTTCTTAAGTCCTTGTTTTCAATTTCGTGTAAAATTACGCAGGTTTATCTGTGCGTGTAATGCCATAAGCACAAACTTCAAGGCCATATTTAGGGTATTTGGTAGAGGTCAGTAAGTGATAACAAGGAGAATTATTTTCAATGAAATTCATCCGCAACGCAGCAGCACCTTCACAACCCAACTTGTTGGAACTCACTTGGAATGGATCACGTTAAGTGTTGCTGTAGGCAATCCCGAAAGTGACAAAGCTGTTGGGCATTAATTGAACTAAGGCCTTCCATTTCCTTCTCAAGTGGCTATGTTGCGTACCTTTGGAGTGCAATGAAATTCCAATCTAGTAGTGATGAATTTAAATTATAATAGGAGCTCTGCAGCTACAGCATTTCTTCGATCATCACTGACGCCATGCTAACCTTGACACTATGTGACCTCATGGTGCTGCGTGAAGACGCAAATGCTGCTGCCAAATGATCGCTGACAAAATTCCTCGTAGAGACAAAGTCGTCAAATCAGAACCACCAGCAATGGCCGCATTGTTTTGTGTCTGGGCTTATTGCGCGCCAATCCTCCTGCCAATTGTCCTTTATCATGGCATGCAATGACGAGATGAGACTGTAGACGTATTTCAAGTCCACGTCGCAAGTGGTCAGCTTTCACTGATAATTCGCAAGTTATATAGGCGCAAAGAATAGGCATTCGCAAGCTGATCTAGATGTCATGCTCTTCTAACAAATTGTCAAGCCGACCCATTTTGAAACATTGCCTAAGCTACTGACCTTGAGTATTCGGTTGATTTGGTGCGGCCAGACGTGGCACAGTGCAGTGCCAACGACACAGCCATATGCACCACATTGAGCTATATTTTTATCGCCTCATTGGTAAAAAATTTATTTATGCATAGGAATGACCCAGTGAGTGTACAGACATCCATCATTTGGGTAGTTCCCGATGCCGTTTTGGAGGGCGCTCAAAAAAACCTCCTTCCTACTCACTTCTTGTGTTAGACTAGTTAACCAACTTGCGTTAATGCCAAGAAAGCAAAGTACGTCTTTCCATACCGGCAAACTAAGGGCTTTCTTGAAATCGAGCAAGTGTGACCTTTTCTGCTAATCTCACCAATGTGTGTCTGGCGAGTTACTGCTATTCTCCTTACATCCCCGTGCTCCCACGTATTTTCGTGAGGACTGTGTGGAGCAAAACACCAACCTCCACGTCCACCCACACTGCCAGTACATCAAAGAGAAGTTGTTGAGGGTCAGGCGAATTGGAGGCGTTTTGAGTGGCACGTGAATAAAGTCAATGCGCCGTGTTGTCACCCTAGTGGCGTTAGCACAATTTGCATCCAAATCAACTTGTAAACATGACGAGGCGCGACCTGACTTTGGTAAATCTAGCAGTACGGAAGGGAGCAGTTATTGTAACGTCTTGATGGCCTTAGGACGCACAACGACAGATGCTATCCATGCCATCTTTGGCAGGATTCAGAATCAAACAGACATTGATCAGAATGAAATGAATTGCCGAGAAGGGGACCTTTTCCGCACCATACTCTTCAGCCACCCAGCCAGTCAGCCGGCCACTCAGCCTGACAGTGAACGCGTAGGCAGTTCATGTTTCTTAGGTCCTCGTTCATTTGGGATCACAGGTCTTTCGCGAAAGCAAATTATATTTGGCACATTCCGTTCGCGTTCTCTACACTCTCCCTGCTCAAAAACACCATACATACCGGTACATAAGGTTTCTTTCCAAAATTGTTATTTCTAATTAACCCACACCAGTATTCGGTAATTATGTGCACACACATTGATAACTCACAAGCAAATTTTCTTGTAAGTTTTGAGCTATCTGATCAATGTCTTCGACTGAGAACAAGATCAAGGCAGTCGGTGACGCAAAAAGCTTGTTTTGATGAGCTATACATGTGATCGTTAAACTCGCCCTCGTGGAGCTCACGGGCTTGTATCTTTGCCAACATTCCAAAAAGTCTTTGATTCCCAAGTTAGTTTTTTTACCAGGCCATTATAGGAACCTTAGCTGATGCCGATCAGCTAGAAGTACTCTTAATTCGTGAAACACGGCCCTAATATTAGGCCCAGAGATAGAGCAGTGATGGAAGAAACTTGGGAACGCTCATCACGAATGGTTGACTGATGTCGGAAGAAATTAGCACTCTTTCTTACATGGATTGTCTCATAATATGCAATAACTTTGGTGTTTTTGCTATAATGCTCGAATTTTCGCATAACAGAACTTGTGACAAATGCACTCTTATTGCGGTAAATGTGTAGCTTCATGATTAAATTGCTCATTCATTCGTGCTCACAAAATACCTGTTTAGAGGTGAAAACAGGGTTAGTTGTTTTAGGTTTAGTGGTACCAAATTTTATGAATAGGCCTACATGCAACCGTTTCAAATGCTTGGATAACTTATGGAAATTGTCCGCAAGTACGCAGAGACAAGCACAATGTCGACCACCAACACCACCTATTGCACCAGACAGTGCGGGTATTTTGGACGAATTTCCAACTAAATAATCACCAACGACACATAGCAATGTAGTAATAAAGTTTTTATCAACTTGGCACGAATAGTTGAATGTTTGAAGCTACTTGCTGTTATACACGAGTTCTTTGACATTGTCAAAGCCTTTACGCTCATCTTGTAAGGAAGCCTCCTTGCATACGCAGAACTCAAAAGAACTTTGTCAATGCTCCAAGGCGGCTACTTCATCTACGTACAGTTGGCTTTTATTCGTTGCCACTTAAGAAATTACAGCTTCTTCCAGTTCCAGAACTTGCCTCGCCACCCACTAAAGCGTGTGCAGCGACGAAGCAGAACTTGCTAAAAGAATATGGTTTAAAATTGTTTTCTGAATTCAATGATAGCATAGTTTGCAAGGCTCTACGCTACTGATGTAACCAATCGCCAGAGTTTACACCCCACGTCATAAAATCCATGCAAATGGACCTTACATGCATTGACACATGATAATCAACCCCGCAGTTTGGTGACATTCCTGTTTTTATGGTACCCAATATGCGCCACACTAGTAAATTATTTGTTCATTCACTAACTCACGTCTGAAATGAAAAATTATAATAGCCTGCGTTTAGGTTCACCGCTATGATATAAAACAAATTTCTCGAAACGACTTGAAAATTGTTATAAGTATTTAAGAATAGGAGGAAAATGGAGGTAGGTACGACTACTAAATGTATTTATGGAAGTAGTTGAAAAACATTGCCGCAGAGGTGTGTTAGCATAGGATACGAGTCGTATTTACCAGATACTTAGCATAGGTAATGGAAAGAAAGGATTCCGTGGGCTTTAAAAGGGGTAAATTTATGCAAAAGAGGTTAAGGCACGCTCGATTTCATACGGTCCTTAGGCATTCGCTGCACTCTTCCAAGCATTCGCATTTCAACGAGCTGGCACGCTCAAAAGTACGAGCATCGACAGTGGTGCAAGCACAGCTAAAATGAAGGCAGATTAAAAAAGCAGTGAAAAACGAATTGAGTCGGAAGTGAGGTCGTTTAAATTAACGTAGCCTCTCTGAGATAATAAACGCGTCTCTTTAAGTGTAGTCAAATCAAGTGGTGTAAACTCTGTAGAGCAAATACTGCAAGCTGATTACAATAGAGGGTGAAATAAATTAAACGTACCAACTTTTATACAAGGTAGGAGTTGCCATAGCTCTGACATGGTGAGTAAATGATTATGCTTTAAAGTACCAGAACAATCACCCATTAGAAGCGCTTGGTGTCTACGTAACTATCCAAGTTGTGCTTTCTATCAAAATTTTGCCACGTGCAAAGCAGGTTAATAATAAGGATGGGCAACTTACTCTTCACGGTATAAGCCAAATTAGGTCCTGAGGGATGGGAATACGCGGAAAAATCAGTTAAATAAATACACCAAAATCGACAACTAAATATTTTTTTTTCTTTGACAATGATGTAGGATAGTAAAGTCTTCCAAACAATAGTCACTTTATTGACTTACT